GGTCACCGACTCGATTGGGCATCAAGGTTTATTGGGCACCTTGGACATTTGATCCCGTCCGAATGATCCATAACCCACTGATCTGGACACCGGCCTACAATATAGTGTAGTTTTCACGCACCGCACCGCACTGCTGCCTTGCGGGTCATGCTTTAGTTAACTGAAGGTTCCAGCTGTGAACTTTCTAAGAATTTTCATTTACTTTGGCCTGGGCAATCCAGATATAAAGATCATTGTGCCATGGTTTGTTTGGTACACAGTCTTAACTCAGGCATGTATGAAAAGATATATATATATATAAATAATATGTTTACGCCGGAGCAAACGGTTTCCGCAAGGTGGTTGGACGTATAAGGATGAGTTGAAAGGAGGAATATATTCCGGGGATGGCGAAGTTCACACAACTTTAATGATCTGATGATGCAAGCGCGATGCTCTCTCTCTCTGTGTAACGAGTTATTTTGTGCATGATAATACCACGAGTATCAAAGGCGTGTAGCTAAGAATTCTGATTCATTCATTTTTTGGTTCAGACCACTTCAGCGAATTTACAATTCATAGATAAATCTTCTTCTTTAAAACGGATAATGGCGTGGGTAGGTGGTGGTGGGGCAGAAATAGGACAACATTACTGTATAAACAGTGGCATAGAAAGCATAATACCACGAATTCAAGAATCCGGATTTGGGAAAAAACTAATTTCCAGATTAGATATGCCCTCCAACAATGCCCGTTTTCCTCGGTTCTGTATATTCCCTGGCAGCCTTTGTACGGCCGCGGCCGCCTACCTGAAAGTTGACTGTAGATGTGTGTAAGCAAAAGACATTTATTTATTTATCTCCTAGTGATAAAATTCTAATGCCAGGTTCCCGCGTTGATGTGAAGGTAACACTGACGGAATCAATGACTCTTTTACTTTGCACAACTTTGTAGACTGGTCAGAAAAGAACGGAAATCTCATAACTGAGATTCTTAATCATTTCCGAACGTGTCTGATGGCGTTTTACTCGAACATTGTGGCGACATATGCAGCGTGCAGTGTCAACCAGATTACGCAAATGGGTCACAGGAAGTTGAATGCAGTTCGTGAGAACACAGGAAATCGTGAGATAGGATACTAATACTGAATGAAACGCCCAGGAAACTACGCCCCCCTCCAAACTCAAGAGAAACAGAAGGAGCACAAACTTTCCGGAAAGGTTGTGTGTCTTGTTCCTCCTGTAGACAGCAAAGTGATCGGTTCATGTAGGATTTTCCGGTTGGTTGTTGGTGACCTTGCAGTTTAGCGCAAACGGTCAACTATTTGCGATAACTGGTCAATCCGAGATGAATCAGACAATAGAAAATAAAGCCGGAACATTAAATTTCAATAAAATAACAACAGGGGGGGGGTGTAACCCGCTTTTTAGGAAAAAATGAAAATTCTCCTTTCAGCATCCCCACGTGAAGACTATCATACCAGTGGAATAAAGTTTTGGATACTCTGATCACGGACCTATGGAGTCACTTTGGGATACGCCGGTCGTAAATGTTCCGGTATGGGAAGTTGTTAAAATTTTAACCTATCGATAAACAATATCAATATTCAACACACCCTTGATCTCTGTTGTGTGACCCCGAGAACCCTTTTCGTTTGCACAATCTATGAAAATCAAGCAGATTCTGACCCCGACAAGATATTGCAAATCCCATTCGCTCAGTTTGTTCACCTAGTAGAATATAGATTAAACGTGCTCGTGATTCAGAAACAAGATATCGGATAGAGTGCGTGATTTTCCGGTTGCGAAAATCGCATGTTTTGCTCCTCGGGTGTCCAGGTGCTACCCAATCGCACCACCATCAATACATCATCATGACCGATCGGGTTAAGCAATACAAAGATGGATTGGTCTTCACACGGTGCTTTTTCGGGTACTGGTTTCAGGAAAGTTGAAGGGGATGGGGATAACGCTCCATATTCTGTTAATCCGATCCGTGTAAGATGCAATGCCTGATTTTTGATCGTTATTCTGAGCCGAATAAGAGGGGCAGGGTGTCCCGAGAGGAGCGGGGATCGGGGAACTCCTGGCTTTAAGTTTTCACTTCTCACCTATTCCAACCATATTGTGGGCGGATTAATGGCGTTTACATGGATTATGATGCTCTTTTTGTACGAGATTAGATTGTTTCTTTTTTCAGGGCAGCCGGTGAGGGGGGGGAGGGTGCACATTTCTAGAAAGGCGAATCACAATGTTCATTTTAATCGCGTCGAGTTGCGCGCACGCATATACTGCGTTTGTGATTGATAGACTTCAGAGCCCTTCCTCCCACAACGGTGACAACCGATGAAAACGAGGCCTGACTGTGTGTGTGTGTGTGTGTGTGTGTGTGTGAAATAACTGTGTTGATTACTGTCACAACTATTTAACGGTTTCAATTTTAACTAGTTATTATATCTGATTATTGATCGATGAGTTCTTCTTCTTTTTCTTTCCAAACTAACTTTGCGGGGCTTTCGAATTCCGCCGTGTTCAAGCTAACATCTGATATTTTCGCGATTTTACAGTGCAAAAATTGCATTTTATCCTCAACATATTTTATTGCATCAATTCATTGAATTTTCAAGGACAAATGCTGTCCTACGGACGCACATTTTGATCTCCCTTCGTTTTATCGTATGTGAACACCACTTTTCATGTTTTGCGCATTGTGTGCGAGATCAATACAACTGATTGAGGAGGAAGAGACAAGGACAGTGAACATCGCGCTGGTTGGAGGGTCACTCTCAAGCGGCGTTCCATCAACAGACTGGCTGTTCCCGTTATTATTTCGAGTATCAACCACTCACTTCCGGGAAAAAATGAAGTCCAGAGTATGCTACATGAAAAACTGTGCAAAAATGTTAGAATTATTATACTCCAGGAAAGTTGGTTACATCCTGAAATTGAGAACGGTGCTGTCCGGTTTGATGGATTTGCTATCTTTCGAGATGATCGGATTGTGAACTTCAATAAAAGAGATGACGGAGTAGTTACTCTCGTCAGCCGTATGTGGTGTAACAGCTCTCATCTTTTGTTTCGTTTCACCACCAGAAAAATCGACTGCATTGTCGTTAAATAATAAACCCCACTTCCTTAGTAATTTTCATCATATCATGCTAACAAACATTTACATTGCCCCTGACACGCCCACTTCTGACATCCGAAAGTCTTTTGACTCTTTCTCGACACAATTCGTGACAGGCTTAGATCAGTCATTGTGTATTATGGCTGGTGATTTTGATCATTTCAATATTTATTTCTTAAGAACTTTAGGTTTGGTTAATCTTGTGCACTTTCCCACTCGTTTGGAGGCCCAGCTTGACGGCATTTTTGTAAATATCCCAGATGTCTTCTTCATAGAAAAACGCGCCCCTATTAGCACGTCCGACCACTGTACAAAAATATATGGTTCTTTGCTTACACACACTACGCGTGATCCGTGCATAGGGCCCGCGGTTCAAACTCTGGATCAACCGATAGATAAGTACAACTGATGGAACTTAACAATAGCTAAACCTCTGTCTGTAATGATTTCGGAATTTGCACGGTCAACTGAACTCATTACTTGTATGAAGATGAAATCTGAAGGATATTCATTCATCTAGTCAATGGATCAGCATGAATGATTGGGAGTATGTATTGCTTTGTTCATTCACATTGGGAAATACCATACCTATAGAAGGTGTTTGATATATTGTAGCGAGAAGGCGAGCTGGCTGAGAAAAAACGTCTACTGATCCAATTCAAAAGCGAACGGTGTGTGTTCGATTATATACAATCAATTCTCAACCGCGCGGCGGGATGATTCATGCCTTCTGCTGTGGGTCATTCCTTGTTGGTTTTCGTCCGCACTTGGCAAGTACGTTGTCTCTTCTTCCGCATGCCATTCCGACTGACCCGATCGCGGCGCGAGATACGTTGATCGACAGCTCTGACGTTGTGGCATTCAGTGGATATCTTTCCCGTTAGCTACGGAATGTCAGTCGGTCTGTACTTGTCGATTCGCTCGTTTCGGGTGGCTGTCAACATCGTCACGCGAGGCACTTCCCACCGCTGCGTCTGCGTGTCTGGTCGGATGAGCCCCATTCTTGATTCGGTCGCTAGCCAAGACTCTCTTTGCACCGCCTTCCATCACAATACGAGGTCGCGGAAATGATGAGATACTTTGTCGCAAACTGCCCCGAGATCCAGGAGTGTTGGACTACTCTCAAACCGTATCCAGGATGAATGATGTAGTCGTTCTTTTCTTAAGGTGTACGAGGTTATGAAACACATTGATCAAACCCCGGATGCTAGCTCCTCTGCCCCGACCAACTCGAGTTTCGCTCTTATTAGAGCGCATCAGTAGTGCATATCCACCGTCCCGTCCGGGATTTGAACTCCGGACCCATGCCATGGAAGGCGTGCGTGCACTACTGATGAGTTCTAATAACGGCGAAAATCGAGTTTATTTTTTCCGAGTGTATCGTTTAGTGGAAGAACTGAGGAATGTGTGTGAAGGTGAAGTCTGAAGGATGGTCAGTCCTGATCAATTAATCAACATCGATTATCTCACAACACTACTCGCAAGTAGTTGTGAGTTCAATGCAAATCAAACTACCTCTCTCTTTCGCCGTATACCAACGTCCATGTAATTAACGATGTTTAGATGACAGTCTTTTCTCTGTGTGAATTCGTTTGTGGAAACAGTAAAAATAAGTACGGAATCCGATCACAAGTACAATCACGTGATTTAAATCTTGTTCATATTGTTGTTTGTGTTTATGTGTGCGCGCATTTGGGTCTTGGTATTCTGGGATGTTCTCATATTATAAAAAAGCAAAACAGATGTGTGCTAAAGGGAGATAAACAGGGTGGAAGAAAACAGCGGGAACACAATTGTGCAATGCCTAAATAAACGACCTATGTTTTTTAAATCAATCTTTCTGTTGCATGATTCTCTGTTTAAATTCACGATAGTCACATTTGTCTTTGGATTATTCAACTGCGTTTTTCACTTTCTGTTTGTTGTGCACGATGACACGCTTTGGTTTCCTTGTATACGTGTTGAAAATAGTGAATTTTCCCGATTGCTTCCACCGTGCGATTGATCTCCTTGATTAGTCCGTCCAGATCATCCCCTCCGGTACTCGACAACAAATCCGAGGCATCTGTGTCGTGTGATGGTGTAAGCTTCTGATCCGCGGATTCGTCCGTCGGACTCGGCAGCGAGTAGTCAATCCGCCGGGCACGTTGTTGAACGTGGTTACACATGGCCTCGGTCAGCACGGGATGATATCGACCACCGGTCATTCGAGCCAACTTGCGCAAGAAATTGATTGCAGTTCTGACAGAAAACCAAAAAAACGACCGATATGAGTGAAGTGAAGGAAACACACATTGGGTGTCAGATGCTGGATAAACATAACGGTAGAATTTATGGTACAAAATTTTTTGGACCAGAAATTCACCGATTGAAAAGGTTTCCAAGCCGAGTATTTTTAATTTTTATCTCAGATTAACTATATAATGGTGCAATTTTCAGGAACAGGGAAACGATCAGTCAAAGTCAGGGCTGTCCTTCAATGGAATGGGAATGGGGAAAGTCAGGCAATGGTGACGGAACACCCGTCTTCCCGGGGGGATAATTTGAGCATCTTTACCGCTCGAATACCACCACCACCGCCACCATCCCGAACCCACAGCATCCTGCAGTGTAGTTGGGAATTATACTGAGAAAAATAACTAAATGATGTTTTAGAGTATCAAGCTTGGATTAGCCCATTCGATACCCTAAAACTGATTGAGCCATTCGCACAAGGTGATGACCGTCGGCCGTAAGCTCAGGGGTAAGGGTTTGAAATCCCGACCCGATTGATCGCGGTTCGAATCCTGCTACGGAAACAAAAGTACGCACTGCTGACAAGTCCCAAACAGGGCGAAACAGCTGTCCAGTGCTCTTTGTTGGTTATCACAAACACTTCCATCGCCAATAAATGATGTACCTCAAAATTCGAAAGNCTACCATTCCCTGGTAAGAATCCTCACACGCATAGGTCAAACATGCTTGGTTAAATATCATCGTGGCGAATTCCTCAGCAGCGGTAGTGCTTGATGCACGGGACGAACGCGCCGAGAAAGAACGGCAATCGTGTTCAGCCCCGTGTTATCAAAGTTTGAGTTTCGTTTCGGAAATCACTTACAAGTTCACGCTTTTCTTTTCCCATGGGATATTTCTCCAATTTCATAATGAAAGCTAAAAAGTATCTATCATACGTTTTTTAGTCACAAGAATAATATCAGGTTTAGCCATCTTCCATGAAAAAAAACTCGATCGATAAATTACAGACAACATGCTCATCTCCCGTCGTTCTGCTTCCTTACTAAATAGGTTCGTTTATGATGGATTTGTTCGTAATAGTTCATTTAATGTATATTTCGTTTTACTTAGAAAACCACAACCGATAGCACATACATGTTTTGCTTTATTAATGCGTGCAAATACTCCGGGAGAAGTATCATGAAATGATGGGTCTGGCTAAACGATGGAGTCTCCGAAACTAATAAGTGGAAGATATTAGAGAATGCCAAGTTCAGACTGTCGTAATTCGTTTTGCGGTTACAATCTCCCACTCAAATCAGCAATCGGCGCCACCCCACCCACCCCGCTCGGAAGAAAACGTACTCATCCTGTGTGAATGATATTGTGTGAATCAGTGGCCCGTCACACACGTTTACAGCGCGTTTCCTGTTCCGTTTTGATCGTTGCGCTCCCGACGCGAGTGGCTTCTCTGCCAGGGAACAGTTTTTCTCCCGTCTCTCTCGCTCCATCTGTGCATTCAAGGCCCATGCGTCTCGGATGGACTGGAGAACTGAGTTACAACTGGCATCCGGTTTGCCATCGGTGAACAGGTAAATCCCTTTGCTCACCTCACCGTTCTTTGCACCACCCTCTGATTGTGACATCCACGGAGGATGTCTGACCCCCGGACAGACACCGGTCTTGGAATCGACCAAATTTAGATGATGCAATGCTCGACACACGGCCTCCCCGGTTGCGGTCCCACCATAGGCTTCCAGTTGTTCGATCCAGGCCACCGCATCGTGGCATGCTGTTTCATCTGGGACGATCGGTCCAGTGGATTGCCAATCGGCCAAATCGGAATTGAACGCGATCAGATTGAAGACAACATTTTTCCTGCACAAAAATAATGCAGATAGTTGTGAACAACCAGTGAGTCAAAAAGAGGGTTGTTTAAAAGCTTTAATAGAAATCGGAATCAGTGAACAACACATTTCATATTCTTGCTTGAATTTCTGCAATGGCAAATAGCGACAGGCCGATTTACAATGCATTTGTTTATTCCGGCAGATTTAAAGGATCACAGTACCGCCTGCAATGGATAAAACATACACACACTGTGAAACGTTCGGGCGGAGCAACAGACATATTTGATGAGGATCACAATGGAAATATCTGTCCAGACTTGCATTTAACTATGCTTTGTAAACAGTCTGTTTCGTTACGCAATGGTACGGTAGAAAAAGGAGTTGACTACCATAGAATGAATGTTACCAGGTGGGAGAGGACATTCGTCGTGGAGGGTGGAGAGGGATATGTTGTTCTACTTTGCAAAATAAAATGGACAGAGGAAGAGAGAGAGAGAGAGAGTTAAAACCTTGCAGATACTGACTAAAAGATGACTGAAAACGGGTAGTATGGCATTTTGGACAAGGCCAGTCGATGGAATAAGTGGTTAACGTGCGGTGTATAAAACTGGTTTAGAAGAACCAGGAGAAAATGTGTGGTAGAATAAATCTCACTAGAATAGAACCCATAGCAGTAACTGCAACGACAGAACGAGAGAGGGATAAGGAAGCAACTGACCAGTGATGTGTATAGGGGTATGTAACTTGTACGTGTTGGTCGGATTGTCCTTAAAATGAATGGCTTTCCGCTGAGACCGACAAAAGAGGCAAAGAGTAAAAGACAACGATCTACTGGACAGTTGAGTGCAGAATATGCCTGTATACGAATGATATGAGAAGTTTATCGGGTTCAATCACAACGCGACCACCACCGCCACCACCTTGCAGATTGCGTCATCCTTGAAAAAGTTTTTCAAGGAGATAAATACGTGTTCTTTTAAAAAGTAAGCTATACAGGTTGTCATCTTATACTCTTGAAGTTTGGATGTTCAGACAGCTAAATCAATGCCCTTCCTACATAAAGATTCGTGTTTGTGCTGATGTTTTTTCGCTGATTGCAGACCTGATGTGGTGATCCAAGCCTGCGAGATGACGCGTACCCAGGAGCGACGCGTTACAGCTTTAAGACAACTGTGATCAATAAAACTTCACGGGTGGCGTCAACAACGCGCGTACGTGTCACTGCTTCTGATTACATACTATAGGTAGATTATACTAACCAATCAGAGACCGTACGACACAGACAAGCAGAACGATGCAAGAAATATCGGACCGCGATTGGCAGAAGCCCGGATGACAAATGAGCAGGTTTTGTACATATTATTTAATCATCCTTAGTTTTTCCCATAAACGAACTACTCCTGTGGCCTTTTCCTCGCGTCTCGGTTACGTGGGATATTGCGTGCTAGTGCCAGTGTGGTGCTTAAGTGCTTAGGTGACGTCCGTCACTGTTAATCAGTGATTCGTATTCCATGATTCGTGTTCAGCACACACTACTCCTACTACTATTACTATAACTATTACACCGTTCATAAAATATTACCGAAAATTTGGTTTAAATTTCGTTAAGCGACAGATTTTGAGAGCATTATCAATGCATTCTAATTATGACAACATCAAGAACCCCGTTAGTTTTCAAAACCACTAAAGCTTCTGTACAATACACATTCTATCTGGTGAATTTTGATACCACACCAACAACTGTGATCTGTTCCCATTTGGTTGGTTATCAACACAGCTAACAGAGATCGGTGGAACCATTAGCCCGCATGCAAGTCGACCACCATGACAGGTTGCACTAGAGTATAACAGATGGAAGGCAAACCAATTTGTCCCGGTGTCGTTGTTGAGTAGGTGCGATATAGAAGGATCATTGTTGTATACAAAATAAAAAGAATTAAAATATTCATTAATAATATGAGAAACGGTAAATTACAATTCGTTACTAGATATTTTTCCACATTTGCATTAAACTACTTATGAGTAACACACACCTACAACTAAAATTTTGTTTTCCTTTCATGCTAAGGTAGCCAGTCTTCAAATTTACATATTCCCGTAGCGTATTCGATGGATTATCATTAGTATGATATGTATATACGTAAAATTGCATTTTCACGTTGATAAAAAGTTTCTGAGCGCTCTGCGAATAAAATCTTACCACTTCCACCAGGGATGGAAACGCAGACCTTCCCGTGGTTAACACACGTAGTAGTTATACAACGCGCACGCCTGCTCTGCACTCTTCTGCTTCAGATCTGACTGTTGTCTTTTCTCACATATAGCGTTGGTTAACTTCGCCCTCTGGTATCATGTTCCGATATGCTTATATTTATTATAATTTTTTAAAATCTAGTATACTTCACTTCTCTGTCATTTTATTATGTAACTGAAGTGCGCTGTTAGTCTTTCTCCTATCGCAGGGCAACCTCCTGGTTTGAATTTCATTGCCGCGCTTCTGCTACGCTTAGTTGTCTGCCGGGTAGACCCTGTTCCTATCATTGCTGTCACGAACAATTATGGCTGCCCTATAATCACAACTCACAGGTTAATTCACACACTTCCTGAATTGTTTGTGTATCTGGTGTGGAGAGTCAATCGCTCTTCTTTCGACCTTTAGCCGTTCGTAAAAAACCTCAGTTATTAATTAAACGAAAGATGACAAAACAGATTTGATTTGACTGAACGCCTCGATTCTGAGTTTTCGGTAATCGTCGGAACAAATTAATCGTCTTAATCTGCTAAAATAAAAACCGGCAAGTCTATCTGTGGAAAATGCACTATTTTCTACAAACCGAGCTGGTTCAAAGCGGAGTAAATATAGTCCGGAAGACGCCGGTGACTACAGAGAAGTTGAGTAATAATGTGTAATATCTACACAACCGCCAAGTTCAGTTCAGAGTAGAAAAATGTCACTGCTTTCCATCTTCATGACAGGCAGCTCGTTTACATAATCTTTCGTGGAAACACATACGGGAAATATACTGCAAAGTGGCATCCGCGGTGCCACTGAACTTTTTCTCGTATTCGACATTCAGTATTACGACAACCGTGGGTAGATTATTTTGCCGACCCAGTACAGATTTATCATCGCTTGGGGGATCATGGATAACTGTAACTCATTCATATCACCGCCTGTCTCATTCACTAAATTATAAATGATCACACAGATGTAACCAGTATGTGAAAAGATGCGACGGGTTGAGCAATGATACAATAAAGATAAGAATCTATGCGATGAAGCTAAGTAGCGAAGGGAGAAACCTCAGATAACAGATTGTTGCCGTTTGTATTGTGGATTGGATGCATTAATCAGCCAGGGAATGAGAGAAAAATGATTTGTGTTAGTTAGTGAATAGATTCAAATTCGATCTTACTATTCAGGTGAAATAGTGTTATTTCTTTCACTATTGTTACCATTGTTAATTATATTATCAAGTGTGCATTTCAATGTCAGAAATACGTAAGCAATCGCATTTGATTCAAAGGAATCGGTTTTATTCGAGAGAACCTCGGCCTCAATGGAATTTACTCATTGGGTCATTGAGGGTTTAAACTGACTCCATTCATGCAGTGAATCACGCTCACATTCGCGTCTGGGTATTTTGACCGACGTAATTCACTTCCTTACCCGACCGACAGAGGTCAACTCCGGGTTCATTCATTCGTATCTATGACGCACACTCGATCAACGATCACGAACATGACGTTCCCGGGTGGAACGGAAGTGTGTGCGGGGGGGGCGGTCGGGAGGAGGGGGGAGAACGACACACCTTGAACCATCGAAACATTCACTCTCGCTCAGTAACTCACTCAAAAAGTACTTTTGTTTGTTTACCGGGAAGTTAGTTCATTCGGACTGGAGGGGGTTTAGACAGACCCGGTCCAATCGGTGACATTTGATGGCCAAAACATCAATCCTCTTGTGGGGTTTCCAGTGGAGCGCGATTGGTTGGATTCACTTGAAGTTACGACGGATTCATTTGAGTTAAAAAGGGATAGTGCTTCCGAGCGTATGGTCGACTGAAAGAGCTGAGGATTATGCGTGAAGGTGAAGTCCAAATGGTAGTCAGTCAAATCAATTAATATCACTTATCCCACACAGTACTGAGAAATAGCTGTGAGTTAAATGCGGAATATCTATTCGTTAGGTATGACAGACAAAATTCGAGCAGAGTTAAATACCGACTCCTCAAAATGGTAAACGTTTGTTCTTTCAAAATAAAACAAAGTTTCTGAAGAGTACAAATTGGGGTGAGCAAAACAGTGAACACTCACTTGAACAACTGTTCCCAAACGAGGCATTTCACGTGATGCTTCAATTCATTAAGGTGTGGTTCCATTGACCCGGACGTGTCAAGCAGCACGACCACACATTGTTCTGCAACGACTCCAAAATATCTTCGTGAACCGCTCAGGAGCCAGTTCAGTCGCTGTACATAACGTTTTAACGCTCTGCATACCTAGGCGAGGCAAGACAATTTAAATGAAAACCAACACGATGCCCCGTGTCCTAAATTTGGCTTTTAGTTGAACACTACTTGTAATTTATCAGTAGGCAAACGATATAAATGAAAATAGTGGGAGATACTTCCCGAGTCCGGAAGAACAACTAAGGTCAACGAATTCACTTTCAAATTTCACAAACAGAATTCAAACTGTGTTGTGAACGGGTAAACCACTTTATGATGAAAATGCACTGGTGACCAAAATGAACTTGTAACGACCATCGATTGTGATCAGTGATGCCAAGTAGGATAATTTTTTGCTCCCCGAAACCACAAATGACTATTACATAAGATGTGCAAAACTATTAAGATTGAAGTCCATACAGTTGATTTTTGAAGTGATTTAATGTAAAATCCTACGAGTTATTTATCAAATGGTAGTGGTGGTCAGTAATATAAATACCAATGGCTTGAGGGTATTTTATGCAGGTTTCAAACAAAACAACAGAGTGGTGAACAGTCTCGTTTTCGTTTGATCGCCACTCTGGTGTTTTGTTATACAGGTTTCATTATTTGACAGATTTTCCAGGAGCATTTCACGTGATTCAGTT